CACTGAAAAGAGCCCCTATAAGTGGGTGGGGCATATTTACTTTGTTACCATAGCAACGCCATCGTTTATTCAGAATTGTCAACTTAATATATCCTGATTGCATTATCTATTACTTTCAATTTGGTCTGAATTTCATCAAAATCTGAGCAATAATGGTGGAGATGGGGGCCAAACACTGAAAAGAGCCCCTAAAAACGGGCGTGGCATATTTACTTTGTTACCATAGCAACGGCATCGCAGATTCAGAATTGCCCATAATATTTCTTGATCATACTTTATAGTAGTAGTAGTAGTAGTATTTTTATTTATTTATGTCTCACGCACTAAAACAGATACTGTATACATAATATCAAGTTAAAACAATACATAAAAATTAAACAGTGCCTGGCCGATGCCGACCTATGAGAGACGGTGGAGTGTTACATTATGCTACGCCGTTTGGCTTGCATTTTTATAATTGTTTTACCAAGTGTTCGTTGAACAGTCTTTTCATTCATTATCAAACAGTATTTCACTAAACTTGTTTGCATATCAAAGTCATTATAATTTATCATTTTGGAAAACAGACTAGATCGTTCATTTATATATAATTTGCACTCAACTAAAAAGTGAATTTCGGTCTCTACTGACTGACCACATGGACACAACCTCTGGTGTAGGGGAGTTGCGGTGTACCTCCCAGTTTCAATGTTTAAGGGAAGTGTGCCGTGACGGAGTTGAGCAATAGCGCGTCTCTCATATCTGCTCATTGATTGCGTAACGTAATGTTCTGGCTCAGTGCAATGTACTTTGTGTAGGCGATACGTTCTGAGTTTGTTTCCGTTTGGGCACCCGTTATCATTATGAATCATCCTATGCCACTCGATATGATCATGTGATGCTAGAGTTTCCTTGATTTGGTTAATTTTAGCTCTGGTGTTGGGGATAAATTGCATGTCTGTGATGTCCCCCGCTCCTGCGTGTATCAACGTTGCCTTCGTGTGAAATTCCCATTTTTGCGGTTTCCGGCCATTGTTAAATACGTTGAATGTTTATGCACTTGCTTGGGAAGTCTATCATCGGCCATGTTTGTCAGTCGACACCACAAGCGACTTACTGCTGTTTGTTGATGTACATATGGAGGAATACTGGCAGTATCACCCATTGTCGCTGCTCGAGATGCCCGATTACTGACACCGAGGAAAATTCTATTGGCCCGTAGTTGGACATTGTTAATTTCCGTATATTCGGTATTCCCCCAGATTCCGGCTCCGTAAAGCATGATGGGTGCGACCATAGAGTCAAACAGTTTAGTGAAAACACGAGATGACATGCCTCCTTTTAATGTAAACTTTGATATGAGAACACCAAGCGCACGATTTGCCGCCTGGGCCAATGTTTTTACAGTTACTTTCATATCGAGATGTTCAGTGAATATCAGTCCGAGGTATCGGTAAGACTCCGTGTAGTCGAGTTGCATTTCACCACATGTAAATAAAATGTTACTTCTTCTAACGTTTGTCGGCCTAAAATGAATCACTTTGGTTTTATTTTTATTAAGCGTTATTCTCCACTGGGAGCACCAGACGTTTAAGGTATTGAGTAGTAATTGCAATTTAGTGGGTGTAGGGGCAATTAGCGCAATGTCATCTGCGTACAACAAAATTGCAATATTTCTGCTTCCAACTTGGAGGCCCGCGTTCAGTGCGTTAATTTCTGCAACCATATCATTAACATATATAGAGAAGAGGGACGGCGACAACAGACATCCCTCCTTCAAACCATTATTAACGTTGAACCATCCAGTAAGTTTTCCATTTAGACGTACACAACAACTCACATTTGTATACAGGGACTGAACTGCCCCTAGCATTTTTCCATTTATTCCCATGTTTAACATTTTAAACCAAAGCAACTCTCTGTCGACGGAACTGAAAGCACGTTTTGCGTCAACGAATGTGACGTACGTCGACGCCTTAGACGACTTCCTATTGTTAATAATTGAATACAATGTATAAAGATGATCCTCACAACTTCTGTCAGACCTGAAACCGTTTTGTTCATTTGCTAATTTACCATGTACATTAAGCCATTTATTCAATCTAACATTTAGGATTCCACAATATATCTTGCTGGGGATACTTAAGAGGGTAATACCTCGATTATTGAGAGGGATGCGCTTATCACCTGATTTGGGGATCGGGACGATAACACCTTTATTCCACTCTGTTGGGACCGTGTCAGAATCAAAGCAATACAAGCATATCTTATGCAAGAGTGAGATACAGTGGTCATTTCGTAATACTTCCACTGGAATATTATCAACTCCCATGGCTTTTCGTAGTTTTGCTCGAAAAACACTATCCCGCACTTCGCCAAGTGTTATCCCTTCGTTCAAATCCGGGTCAGTGCGCTCGTCACACGGGTTAGTTGTCGGCGTTTGTGATCGAATCTTATCCCGATGTTGATCATCAAACTTTGAATTAGGATCCGGATTGTTAATACTGGCAAAATCATTTTTCCAAATGTTTAGTGCATCAGATTCGTTTGTTATCAAAGAACCGTGTTTGTCGATTGTATCAAAATTGAAAGATTTACGTTCATTTGCTATCCCTATCGTTCCGATCTCTTTCCAAAACGAATGTTGATCTGTACTGTCACATAAATCAAGAAGTGCTTTTTGTTCATCCAGCTGATATTTCCTTTTCAGACGTCGATGTGTTTTATCATATATTTTTCTTGTTTTATAAAACTGCTCACGTAATCTGCGTTTTTCTGCTCCATTTTGTTTACATTTTACATATAATTTTTCACAATGATTTGAAGCATTAAGTTTTTGTTGCAATTCGTCACACCAATATGGTTTATATTTCATTTTCTTGCCCGTTGAACTTGCATCCCTTATTTTGATTTTATCGAGTTTTTTATCCATTTCACTAGTGATAAAAGTATTTAGCTCAGAGTAGGCTAGGTCCAAGTTCTGCTCATTTGTAAGAATACGTTCAATGCGGTCAATACGTGTAAAGAAATAGAATGTAAATCAATCATTGTTTTCAGCTTTGACCTACTTTTATGGTGAATGTCAAAGGACAAGATACCAATTTGGAATCATCTTGAGCATTTCGACCTTATTTCAAGAAAATAATTTCGAAAACAGCTATGGTAGTCATACCATAACAGGTATATCAGTCTGTCAATCTACATTCCCCATGCATCGTCTGATTCTTTAGTTTCCATTCGATGAAAATTGCATATACACCAGAGCTATCATCATGACAACTGATAGAATCAAGACTTTGGAAAAGACCTGAAAAGTGGGGATGGCATATTCACCTGAATACAACAGCTAACATAGGGATAGCCAGGTGGTGTGTGGGGCACCCCCCCCCCCCCCATTTAGCAATAAAAAATTAAACCATTACAGCAGGAGATCCAAGACGTCATTTCCATTGTTCTTTCGGCAGAAGAGCTTTAAAAATGCTTTTGACTTGAAGCTTCTAGCTCAATTTTGAAGGAATTTTTGTAAAATTCAAGTCAAATTAAACTTTTTTAAGGTTCCTTATGCCGATATCGCACCCCCTCCCCCCTGATTGAAAGCTGGTTGCGCCCCTGATTAATAATTGCCATTATGACATCATAATATAACACAATCCAAATTAGATAATTTTCTATCGTTATTAGGTTATTTTCTGCCAGCCATCAAATTTTAAAAGGAATACATGTCAGTCAACTAGTCAAAATGTTTTCACAGCAGATAGTTTTGCAACATACTGTTACCATAGCAACAGCTTGAATTGGATATTTTCATTACATTTTTTCAATTTTTATGACCATACATGTATGAATGAAATAAACTAATAAACTCATCGAAAAGAAATGAACTTATTAACTACTTAGGAGTATTACTGACCATTTTAAAGACAATAATTTCCCAGATTTATACATCATGATTAAAATAAAATATGGAAGAACAAACGGTTATGGCGTCATAATTAATATGCATATCACCTTATTTGCATATTTTATAAACCATTTGATTGCTCTTTCCATGACCTTTCATTTGGTACAAATGTCACCTAAATCTGAGCAATATTGACGAAGATAGGGACCAAACACTGAAAAGAGCCTCTAAAAGTGGGTGTGAGATATTTACTTTGCTACCATAGCAACGCCATATCGAATCCAGAATTGCCAACTTAATATTTCCTGATTGCATTATCCATTATCTTCCATTTGGTGTGAATTTCATCTAAATCTGAGCAATAATGACAGAGATAGGGGCCATACACTGAAAAGAGCCCCTAAAAGTGGGCGTGGCATATTTACTTGGTTACCATAGCAACGCCGTCGTGGATTCAGAATTGCCAACATCATTTTTCTTGATCAGTATCATTTCTAGTTCATGAAAACATATGTCGCTTAGCTCGCCTCTAAAAAGGACACGGAACCTCTTATTTGGACTTTTGCTCCCACACTATGTTATGTATGGTCGGTTTTGGATACATGTTTCATATACAACAAATAAAATCAACATTAGTTTAAAAAGTTAAAATCTTTCAATTTATCAGTTGAGGGAATAATCAATGTCTCATTGATAAAAATCACTTGTCATAGGATAAATTAGTTATTTCCCTCGGGAAATATGATATCTTACCTCGTGCCCTCCGGGCCCTCGGTAAGATATCAATATTTCCCTCGGGATATACCCCATATCCAAAACCTCCCATAACACAACCCTCATATATTGCTCGCACTGAACGATATCTAATTTCCCGGGGAAAATTTGCCGGTCTAGAATATATTCTAGACCGGTCCATATGGACCACCAATATGACGTCACACATTTCTCAGGTCGATATAGTAAAATGAATGCCTTCTAAACTAGCACTAAAACCCCTAGAGCTGGCCCGGCAAGGTAGTAATAATGCACGTTATGTAAAAATAAGAAATATGGAATGGTTGTGTTTTTCCCACCCTGTATATATACAAAATATTTTTCAGTGGAACAATGAAAGTCTATATTTGCAAGATGAAAAGCTTTTTATTAGAGAAATGTTATTGAATTGAATACATAGTAAAAAAAAACAATGCTAACAATTTCGTATACTTGACATTGTTAAATTTCAGAAATAAATTGAAGTATTATATAATAGCCACTGATCGTCTAAGTCTATGAGTCCACGATGTTTCATTCGAGAACAGGACAGAGGCTTGGATTGTCATTTCATGTGTCGTCACTTTTGATACATGTTGGGCAGCATTCGCATCCAGATGAGTCATTTACGGGTCAATGCGTTTACAATTATTCACAGTTAATCTGAAATAAATAAATTGATATTTTAGTTGACGAAATTTTCAATATTGCACTCCTGAAATAAATAAAATGTACATTTTGGTTTTAAAATATTATTACTGTCTATGAAAAGGAAATAACGAATGCAGTATAAAGGCGTTAAAACAAATTGGAATGTGTACTTTCGAAAAAAGACAAAGTTGAGCTAATAACATGCTGTGACTAATGTTGACAAATAGTGATCATAGTAAATTATGTTCCATTTCCTTACCAGATCCTCCGATGTCATTGCATGAGTTGCAGGTTTTCCTACACTGTTCTCTCTGTATAACACAAAGCGCTGTGACTAATGTTCGCAAATAGTGATCATACAAGGGTTGTTCAAAATGTTTTGCAAAAATATCTTATTCCCTTACACTGTCAAAGTTCCATGTATATACACCTACTACATTGTTCGGTTGCTATAGTAACCAGGGTGATGACGCTATGGTCCATATCATTTTGTAAAATATAACTTGTAACACATAAAGATCAATGTTACTTAACATGCTAAATTAACTTACATAAACTGTCAACTTAAATCTACACAATTTCTAGTATTGTTCTCATTGCAAATGTGCATCTTATCTCAATATTTCCCATCTTATTTTCTTTGGTTATGTCAGAGAATGACCATAAACATACTCCTCAAACATCTTGAACAAATCACCTGATTTTATGACGTTATCAAAGTGCTTATGAATTCAGGAAATATTAGAGAATATGGCTCGAAATAATAACGTTGGAGCAGAAAACATTGATAGAATACATGATAAAAAATGGGAAAACAGCATTACACAAGTTATATTCATTTATGCATTGAGATACATTGTATATGATGACTCCAATAGGCATTGCTAAGTATTCTAAGATGGAATTAGAGAAGGGAAATGTAGGATGGTTCAGACATTTACTTATGAACTGGACAGAATGCTACAAGTGTAATGTATCACTGAAAAGGAAGACTACATGTTAAGTTCTGCATATTTAGATTAAGTATAAGTCATTCATAACCTGATTAACAGCTGAAAGAACAAAGATTGACGGAATCATTTCAGCAACTCAAGGCATTCAAAAAATCAATTCAATTGAATGACGTCATATGGACCATGGGCCCATTGGTTCATATTTTTAAGTCAATGTATCTCAGGAAGTATATTGCTTATGGTTCTAAAATTTAATATAAGCTTGTAAGAAGGGTAATACTATATCTGTATCAAATTTCACAAAAAATAATAAAATCTCTTCTATTGAGAAGCTTTCGTGCAAGACCTTTCGAACGACCCTTGTAGTAAATTACATTATATTTCCTTACCAGTTCCTCCGATGACATCACATGCGTTGCAGGTATTCATGCATTTGTATCTCTCCATTGAATTAGCGCAATTCAGCAATCCACGTTGCTTGTAGAGTCCACACTTAGAATCCCTGTCCCTGCAGGCTGTAGCAATACCTGTTGATAATAGATGTCGCTGCATGACTCATGATTAAACACTACTTTTTCATTAAACTGATTTTCATCAAAGAACTTTTTCTGAACCACAAACATATATGAATTGTCTGAAGAAATTGATAACGATAAAACTGGTGCAATAAGACTTGATATATTGAAAATAGGATTATACAATGTAGGGAATGTTTAATGGAACATTTTTCAAGGCAAATGAATAAAGATATTCATATTCAGTGCTTTTATCAAAATGGTAAATTATAATAACAATGATTAATATTGTCAATCTGCTTCTGTGATATGAAAGGGGAATCAAGTTGTATTTTCGTTGTTTATCATTTTACTTGAAAAATTTAGGAGTTCCGAGGTTTAAACGTCGGCAGGAACGAATGTTAACAGTACGGTTATATATCTCACTGCCAAGATCACTGGTACTTCACTCTTCAAACTAATAATTCCTTTTCGGTAACAAAATGTTACTTATTTCACGTGTTGTAGGTACAATGTCCCCGACATTTTAATCACAAATGTGTGTCAGTACCGAATGTTTAAGAGTATATACACGAACAGCAATATTGCGAACAAATAGTTCAGAAGACGACAGAATCATTGATATAATACGTCACCACTATTGAGTAAACGGAACCAGATTTAATGCATATCTGAACTGTTTTTGAAGATTTTCATTTAGTCATCCTATAATTATGCTGTTTACAATAATAATAATAATAACAATGAATAGAATAAGTCAATATAAAACAAGATTCGCTGTCGCTTTAATTGTCAACGACTTATTTTCAATATGACGGCCTTTCAAGATGGCGAAACCTTACAATAAATCTAAGCAAGGTAAACAGTAAGCTTCCGTGATGTAATGGATTTGGAATCAAGTGGCTGTTTCGTATTTTTATTATTCTACTTGATTAGTCTACGTGTTGTGTGTCTTTAACTTCGCCAAAAAGAATTACATAATAATAAAATGAATTAAAGATTACATTGTTTGGAAACCCGTCAAAGTGAAAGTAAAAGCAAAGTAAGCATGTAAGTAAAAGTAAAATTGTGAGAATATTACGTTACTTTATGATTTACTTACCAGCATCCCCTGGGCAAAGTTTGCAGAACTTCTTGCAAATTAATTGCACGTGGGATTTGCCACAGTCCAGCCCGTCTTCGTTATTTTGTCTAAGACAGTCTGGCATTATGTCCCTACAGTCTGCAGCAAAATATAAAATAATAGATGCCACTCGTTAAACATACATGAACACAGTATAAGCATAACTGATAATCGCACATTTTTACTGCATGATACTTCATTTGAATATTTCACAAACTCAACAACATTCATGAATTAATTAACATTTAATAAAACCAATGAATTATATTATTTGTGAAAACAGGGCACACAAAGTAGGGACTGTTAAATAGAAGTTATAAAGTAAAAGCAGTTTTATCACGGAACGTCAATGTAACAAAATGGATGAACTTCCTGGAAACGTTTTTTTTGTTTTCTCGATTTGAGCCTACTTATAAGTTGCAGATTATAATTTGGCACAAAGCTAGAAAATATAGCCTAGCTTTAAGGTCTCATTGAAGTTAACAGGAAATGACAAAACAAAAAATGACAAAGCCATGCTGGATTTTGAAAATTTTTTGAACCAAGATAACAGAATTCTGTTTGGCCCTCCAGTCAGTTTAACTAGTTCCACATATCATTTACATGACCGGGAACACAATTGAAATGGTCAGAATGACCATAAACATGCTAGAATAACCTTTTCAGCCATCTGAAAATGTGACTAAAAAATAGCTAAGAGTCAGTGCTCAGGAAAGGTCACTGAACAGAATCTTTTGACTTTTTCAGAAAATGTGCCTAATATATTGCTCTAAATGATACAATTTAAAAAAATTTGATATCATTCTTAGAAAAAGAAAAAATTGAAAAAAACTGAATTGAAAATCGATCTATTTTCCTTTTTACTACAGCCATTATTGTTTCAGACAATTTTTTTAAATTTCAAAGATTGTGTCATTTAGAGCAATATATTGGACACATTTTCTGAAAAAATCAAAAGATTCTGTTGATTGACCTTTCCTGAGCACCTACTTTTAGCTATTTTTCAGTCACATTTTCAGAGGGCTAAAAAGGTTATTTTATCATGTTTATGGTCATTCTGACCATTTCAATTGTGTTCCCAGTCATGTAAATGATATATGGAACTAGTTAAACTGACTGGAGGTCCAAACAGAACTCTGTTATCTTGGTTCAAAAAATTTTCAAAATCCAGCATGGCTTTGTCATTTTTTGTTTTGTCATTTCCTGTTAACTTCCATGAGACCTTAATAAGTTTCCTCGATTTGGAATATTTTTGGGTAAATGAATTTGCAATTCATATATTTAGTCTCTCGCTTTTGTTACATTGTTGAAAGTCCGTTTTACTACCCATGTATGTTACTTTGACGACTTACGTCAATGTAACAAAGGCGATGGTCTTAATGCATCAATTACAGCTTTATTCAAAAATCAAATTCCAAACCAAGAGCGTTTCTTAAAGCTAGACTATATTGTCCTACTTTTTGTCAAATGATAATCCGCAACTTGACTTATAAGAAGGTTTAAATCGAGAAAACAAAAAAATACTAGTATCCAGGAAGTTCATCCATTTTGTTACATTGACGTTCCATCAAAGTAACGAGTTGTGGAACGGTGTTTATAGTCTGCAGATATTAATTAATTTTGGGGAAGTACAGCGGTCCCCGTTGAGCAAATGTGACTGATGAGGCTTTATCTAGTTATTTTTCAGATACCTTCTGATTCTTGTCGTTTTTCTGCATCTGCAATGATCTGTGAACCAGTCTCTGCTGAAACAATTGTTTTTTCTGATAAACTAATTCGTATTTGTTTCTAAAAAATAATTTAAAGATTTGGTTTTATTAGCTCACCACAAAATGTATGATTTTCTTTTGAAATTATCAATTAAATTGTTCTAACAATAACACAGGCCGATTCTTCATTCCTCATACAAATTAAGTCAAATCTGAACTGGTAAGACACAATGGTGTGATTTAGGTGGACACATCGAATTTTACTAACTTACCAGTCCCACCGTTGTCATCGCATAAATTGCAAGATTTCCTGCAATCTACTCCATGGCCGGATAAAGTACAATTTAGCGAGCCATCAGCCGTGTAGTATTTGCAAAGGTTACTTATATCCCTGCAGCCTGTAGAAATATAAGGTTTAATAATATATGTCGCTTGATAGACAAACATGTGAGATGCATTAATGATGATTGGACATTAATGATGATTGGACATTAATGATGATTGGACATTAATGATGATTGGACATTATTGATGATTGGACATTATTGATGATTGGACATCACTACTTCGTAGGACAGATTCTTTACAAAAATGTGAAGTGTCTGAAAATTTTGGTAACAATAAAACTAGTGCAATAGTATTGATCTATGGAAAAGTAGGAAAATACAATACAGTGCATTGAATGTTTCAAGGCAAAGATATGTGCATTGAATGTTTCAAGGCAAAGATATAAATGTATTCTGTGATACATTCCAGCGCTTCTATTAAGTTGTAAATTGTAACAATGACTAAAATAATATGAAAGGCTTTTGAACAACATATTCACTTTCAATGTGGCTTCAAGTGGCCGCTTCGTTTTTTATCATTCTACTTTGTAAGTTTATGTGTTGTCGTGATTAAATGTCGGCGATTAATCAGAAGAGGACTGACAGGTTTTTCGACCACGCTTGGACCATATATTTTCACATCCTCCGATCACAGGGCTTCAAAATCCAGAATATCTTCTTTCTTTTTACCCCCTGCTATAACCAAATTGGACGCGCCCGATTAAACTGAATCACGTGATCTTATTATGCGCCGATGACGTATACATGATTTCTGTCGCAGTGTTGCGACAGCCAATCAAATTGCGAGTTCTTAATCGGGGAAATGTTAACTGCTTATAGCAGGGGGAAGAAGGAGGTACGGATTCTGGACACCTGCTTAGGAGGATGATATTTTCAGTATATATACAAAGTCTTCCGGGATCATTTACATGTATAAAATTGTCATAATAACTTACCAGTCTCGGGTTTGCATAAATTGCATGTCTTCTTGCAAGATCTTTTATCAAAAGAACTTTCACATGTCATGTAATCGTATTTTTTGCCTTCTTCACAATATGAAGGCAATGTATCCTTGCAACCTGTGGTAATAGATGAAATTATAGATTAGTAATTTGCTTTCTCTCTATTTTATCAATTCCCAGACCTGCCACATCCCTCATGAAAGTGGTAAATCTCTGGACCCAGATCTTGGGGCGGAGGTACAGTATCCTGATTCAAGTAAATCGAAAAGTGTTACTTCATAACATTGAATTGTTTCAGTACAGTAAAACACATTATTGCCTACTGCATTGAATCTCAGTCAATAGAAGAGTTACTTCTAGAACTACATCCGGAATAAAAACGTCTATGAAGTGTCTGTCAAAATTGATGCGTATATAACTGATGGAGTAAAGGTCAATATTTGGTAAATTAAGAATAGCAGAATAATAATCACCTCATAACAATCAATTGTTAGCAAATCATGACAGAGAAACCATAATTTTGACGCAATATCACTAGCAATTTAACATACACACATCAAATACTTTAGCTTGCAACCGGCAAAAAGCATGATTTATTTGGATATCAACCTGCGAAAAGACTTTACAAAACAATATTTCAGCATGGTAATTCAAAATTTATCCATGATTTTATGCCAATATTCTTTATCAATCGTGATACAATCTTATATTTTGGATTCTCTAAAAAAAAGTTTTGTACAATATGTATAAATATGCTTTGATTTTATGTGTTAAGGTAAAAAATCATGAATCATAAAATTTTAGAACAGAAATGTTACATGTACACAAAACAATTACATTATACAGGGTGGTCCAATAAAATGAGACACTCGGGATAGGGAATTTACTTATCTTTAATTTGGTATACCATGAGTTCAAATCTATTATAATATCTGTCAACCAGCGTCCATAATATAAATTATGTCATTTTCGTTTCAAAACAGGTTTTCCGAAACTTGCAAAAAACAAGTTTTTTGTCAACTTGATTTACATAAACAGACGCTCAAAATGTCCACCATTTTGATCAATTATAGCCCTCAATTTTGGCCTAAACTGGTCAAATGCATCATTGACATGCTGTTGAGACAGTGAATTCGACTTCTCAATAATTCTGTCCTTATATATATATATATTTCTTTATTTCCCATTTAGCATGGAGTACAAAAATTTAAACATTTAACACAACAGTGAAAATTATCTAAAAATTTAAGACAATAACAAAAAACACACAAAACAACAAAAACAATCCATATCTAAAATGTCAATGACAAGTAATAAAGTATCTATTAAAGTATATATTAAAAAATCACAAACAGTGGTGGAAAGTCACATTTCTAAAAAATATTTGCATCACTCTAAAATGGAGTGGTAAGATCAATATTTAAAAGTTCTACAACAGTACACAAGAAAGGTAGTAGAATTGCCAAGACTTTTGAATTGTCTGTAAAACATAAGCTGGAGAGGCCTTTCACTGACACACAAAAGGGGTTTTCTCGAAAATCCTTTTTGAACGACTCTATCTTAAGCCCAATTCTGTTAAGGTTCAAGACATCGTTTAAGTTGTGTAGCATTTCATTGCGAGCATCCTCAGTTTTGGAACAAGACTGCAAGTGGATATTTTCTCATAAAAATAACATATTGGAGAAATGTTCAGTACAATTTGCGTTATCCACAAGACCTCTATTCTGTGCAATGGTAAATGCAGCAATACACGCGTAATCAGTCAGCCATGAACGTGCAAAATTCAATTTTTGCGTAATTTGGGGGGGGGGGAATTTGAGCCCTAGTGATGCTAATAGATTAAAAACTCTCGTAAGTATAATGGCTATTTGTTCATTTCAAAAATAGAGAACCATTGAATTTTCGTTTTTCACGAAATTCTGATGACTAGACCAACTAGCATCGTTTTTATGTAGTAAGTGAAATGAATCTGTCCATTTGAACATGGGTTTTTGGTGGCTATAAAAGTGTCAAAATGTTAATTTTTCGCATAGTGTGGCACATTTGAGGTATGAACCTTTTAATTGAGCAAGAACTGCACTGTCTAAATCCTCTTTTAAATTGGCAGTCATTTAGACCCAAAACTACGATTTTCAGTGAAATATAGTCGTCTCCAGGAGTTAAGGGGTTAATTTGCAAAACGTCAAATTGTCACACAGAAAGACATGCGAAATGGGACTAAATTCAATACATTTTTCGAAATTCATCGACAAATGTAGTTTCTGAGTTGGATACGCGGTACTGAGACTGCAAGGGAACTGTAAGGCAACTGTAGTGTTCCGCAGTTTGGTACAGACGTTTACTGATTTTAGGGAAGTACAGTCGACGTGCGGTCGACGTTTAGCAAATTTGACTGAAGCTTTGGTGAGTTACATAATACTAGATACCTTCAGATCCTTGGCGTTTCTCTTCTGCAATGGTCTGTAGCTGATCTAGGGATGAACCAGTTTTTTCTAAAATAAATTTAATTTCTTTTTTATCTTTTTAATTTCTTTCATATATAGACTAATCCTTATTTGTTTTTAATGTTGATTGAAAGATTTGGTTTATTAGTTTTTCACAGCATGTGAGCAATGCATTTTTGAAATATATAATAAAATTGTTAAGTTCTTCACTCGTTGAGGAACATATTTTAACTGAAAGATTGCCGATAACCCCTCTCTGTTGATGTCATGATCAACTGATCGGGATTAATTACCTGTTTTGATTTATTCTATTTATTTCTTATTACACTAATTTCTTACTCCCTATTGACAAACTGTTATATTCCAAATAAACCTAAATATTACAATGTTATAACAATGAATATCCGTGAATCATGATAGTTTTGATAGTTAGATGTGTCCGTCTTAAATCTTAAAACTCTTGTCGCTCAATAGATTACTGGTTAGCATTCAAATTGAAAAATATGTTTAGGATCACCCATTGGTGGACACATTATGTTCATATTTTCGTCCTTGTAATTACTAAATTATAATGGCACTTTTATGCATGGATGAGCTCATTTTGCGGTTATTTATCAACCATTTTTTAAAAATAGTTTTAACTAAAAACGTGAGAGGATGACCAATATTAATTAAATCCTATACACTAATAACTTACCATTGCATAAATTGCAGGTCTTCTTGCAATATTTCTTCTCGTATCTAAAGTTGCAGTTCAGGTTGTTCCTTTCCTTGAAGCTTTCACATCTAATACTTCTTATGTCTTCGCAGCCTGTAGCGACGGCTGTAATAAAATGTGTCGCTTGTAAGGCAATCATGCGAGATGCATGACTGATAGTTGAACATTTTTACTTCACAATTTCATAAAAATATTTTTCACAGAACTATTTCTGAACTACAAAACATCATTGATGTGTATCCTGCCAAATGATGACGTAGTACGGACACCTCAAACTTTTGAAGCTTTTTATATTTAACTTAGAGTTTTATGTTTAAAGATACTTATTTACCAGATATCTGAAAATGTTAGTCAACGTGTGAAGTCATGACTGAAGCGGGTCTGTAGTTATTGTATTTTGGACAGTACAGACACTTACTAGTATAATAGATTACACTGGTAAATCTCATTGATTTAGAGAAACTGTTGAAAATTACTTATTTTCGCTAAATTTAACGCAATGGCTACCTTATGCTAGCTATGTCAGATTTTCCATTACCTGTCATCTATTCGTCATTCATTCATAGAGTTATGGTGGTCAGTCACCATTAAATTATGGATAATAAGTTGTGTGAAATTGAACAAAAAGTTTAATTCAAGATTCCAGATTCCAGCCTTTTTACTTCAACACGATTTCTATATCCGATCTTGAGATAAAATTAATGTTCCATTCCATCGATTCTAATTTCCATAACATTGACATTTGAACATTTTTATTTTGACCTACTTTCTGGATACCATATCTCCAAAATGAATCGAGATACCCCGTGGTCGAATAAACTAATGCTTTTAACACATTTTTTACTATCACTATACGAAATTTTAAAGAATAACCTACAGTAAACATCAAAATGTCGGAACGTCGAAGGTACGATTTTTCTTTTTTCCTTATTTCACGCGTTGTAGGCAGAATCTACACGACGTTTTTTCACACAAACGTGTATCAGTATCATATGTTTTAGAAAATGTACATGTTTGCGAATATGTACATTTTCTTAAGCATATGATACTGATACACGTTTGTGTGAAAAAACGTCGTGTAGATTCTGCCTACAACGTTTACTGATACACGTTTGTGATAAAAAATGTCGAGGAAATTCTACCTACAACGTGTGAAATAAGGAAAAAAAGAAAAATCATACCTTCGATGTTCCCACATTTTGTTACCGAAACGGTTCCAGCGTAGTCGAGTGGATCACCAGTGAAAAAGCAAATTGATTTCACATACCGACATTTTGTTCCGACATTTTGTTACCAAAACGAACCGTTTCGGTAACCAGCGTAATCGAGAGGATCACCAGTGTGTTCGCAAAAGTGTACATTTTCTTAAACATACGATACTGATACACGTTTGTGATAAAAATGTCGTGGGAATTCTGCCTACAACGCGTGAAATAAGGAAAAAAGAAAAATCGTACCTTCGACGTTCCGACATTTTGTTACCGAAACGGTTCCAGCGTAATCGAGTGGATCCAGTGAAAAAGCAAATCGATTTCACATACCTTCCTCACCAGTAGTCTCCTGTGTGGATTCGCTACCCTCCTTATCAGTTGCCCCCTGTGTGGATTCGCTACCCTTCTCATCAGTTGCCCCCTGTGTGGATTCGCTACCTTCGTTATCAGTTGTCTCCTGTATGGATTCGCTACCTTCGTTATCAGTTGCCCCCTGTGTGGATTCGCTACCCTCCTTATCAGTTGTCTCCTGTGTGGATTCGCCGGTTCCGCAAAGGTTGCAGCTTTTCTTGCATTGCTTCTGAAACCAGTCCCATTCTTTCTCACCGGAGCAAAACTTGTCCTTAGACAAACTGCACATCAACGGCTTTTCGTCCTTACATTCTAAAGAAAACGTAATACATGCCAATCATTTTTGTCATATGGCGCATAACGTGCATGTACATAATAGATGTCACTCGTTAGACATACGACGTGTGTACGACGTAGTAACATATTCGTATAGGTTTTGCATTAAGACCGCGGTTGAGCTGTCATTAATGTAGGCGTCAAAAAGCAAATTGAACGAACATACCTTCATCATCAGTACTGTTCTGTGTGGATTCGCTGGTTCCGCAAAGGTTGCAGCTCTTCTTGCATTGTTCCTTAAACCAGTCCCATTCATATTCACCAGAACAATACTTGTTCTTATAATCAGATTTTGCGCACGTGTTCGGCGTCTTGTCCTTGCATTCTAAAAAAATGCATGCCAATTTTAAGTCATATCATAAAATGAACGTCGCTTGTTAGACGGAAGACGTATTTTGACTGTAGAGTGGATAATAAGATTATCGTTTTCAGAAAACACGGCCATAACATGCACGTTTTATATGTAAAGCCTAGGGCTTACATCTTCAACTTTCTTCTCCGTAGCCATTTTTTCTTTATTTCTTTATGATCATAAAAAATAGTAGAAATAGACTTAAGTGTGTGTTTTCTTTTTTTCAATCAAGTACTGTGCTTATGCTTCATCATGAACAAGACAAAGCTGATATGGTGTCATTGAAATGTAAAATGTTAGGAACTACTTTGAATCTAAAAAATAAGCAATTAAAGGACCATATTGAAACAGAATATGTAAAAATAGAAACATTTATACATGTCCTAACTTTTGTATATTTCAGTTTGTTTTGTAGTTTAGCTATCATATCCGTGGCCTCTTATATTTTGATGCTTCTCTGCTATGTTATTTATTTTAGAAAAAATTTACATGGCTGAAACTCACTAAATTATAAGAGACCACAGCTTTGCTGCACATTGTACATAACTGTCTAAAATACACAAAAGTTAGTTAGGACTTTTTTCATATATACTGTTGCAATATAATCATTTGATTGCTTATTTTTTAAATTCTAAGTAGTTCAAAACATTTAAGATTTTACTGTAAAATGATAATAAAAAACCCGCTCTATATTTTGGTTTTTAGAAAATGTGCCCAATATATTGCTTAAATGATACGAGCTTTATAATTTTAGAAAATTGCCTGAGAGAAAAATGTTGGTCATAAAAGGACAATTTGATCGCTTTTTAATTCAAAGCTCGTATCATTTACAATAAAATTTTAAATGTTTGGAACTACTTTGAATTTAAAAATCAGCAATCAAATGACGATATTGCAACAGTATATAAAAATAGAAACATGTGTACTTGTCCTAGCTTTTGTATATTTCAGATACTTATATATAATGTGCAGTAAAGCTGTGCCCTTTTGCAATTTAGGGAGTTTCAGCCATATTAAGGTGCCATGATACTTAACAGGAAATGACAAACAGGAAGTGACAAAAAATTGCATTTTTAGACATTTTTTTGAACAAAGATAACAGAGTTTTTGACCTCCAGTCAATTCAACTAGTTCCACATATCATTTACAGGTCTAGGATCACAATGTTCATGGCCAGAATGACCCTAAACACGATGAAATAACCTTTTCAGCCCTCCAAAAAGTGACTGAAAATGATACAATCTTTGAACATTTGATATCATTCATAGAAGAAAAAAATGAAAAAACTGATTTAAAAAGCGATCTATTTTCGTTTTTATGACCGCCATTTTTGTTTCAGACAATATTCTAAGATTTCAAAGATTGTACCAATTAGAGCATTCTGTTGGGCACATTTTCTGAAAAATTCAAAAGATTCTGTCAGTGACATTCCCTATCTCCAACTTTTAGCTATTTTTCAGTCACATTTTCAAAGGGCTGAAAAGGTTATTTTTCATTATGTTTAGGGTCATTCTGACCATGCACATTGTGATCCTGGTCATGTAAATGATATGTGGAAATAGTTAAATTGACTGGAGGTCAAAACAGAACTCTGTTATCTTTGTTCAAAAAATGTCTAAAAATGCTAATTTTTTGTCACTTCCTGTTTTGTCATTTCCAGTTAAGTATCTTGGCACCTTAATAAATGACATGGCAGAGAAGCATCAAAATATAAGAGGCCACAGATATGATAGCTAGGCCAGGGTGTATGTTGGGAAATTTTCTGCATTCCTCAATTGAGTCACATGTTATTTTTCAAACAAGAATTACTCCTTCCCCACATTGTCTACATCTTCCAGTTTTGCACAAAGAGCGCACTTATGTACCAAGAAAAGACTTGTGAGAAGATTTGTTTTGTAAAATGTATAAAAACGAGAAAATTCAGTGACAATTTTTGGGAACATTTCCTGAACTTTTTCACTGAATTTTCTTGTTTTATTATACACTTTATCAAAACAATTCATTCTTCTCACAAGTCTTTTCTAAGCACACAAGTGCACTCTTTGTGCTAAACTGGAATATATAGACAATATAATACAATATTATAGTTATTAACTATAATATTGAAAGGTCTAAAAACATGTTGTATATGCTATTTTGTTCCAACAAGATTCGGAAAGACATTTTATTTCATTCTCAAGAATGGGTAGAAAAAAACAAAAAATGTTAACAAAAACAGTTATATAAAATATTTCTAAATAATTTTCGCATTAAATCGTTGTCAATCAGTCAACATTACATAAAATACCGTGTTTTTTACAGAATGTTTTCAATGATTGGTTTAAGAGAAAAACATTGTTGAATTCAGTTCTCCATATCGATACCACTCCTTTGTGTAATGAATTTGAATAATGTATTGACCTTGAACTTCAATTTGTGACATGTCATCTAACCATATCTGATGTGAAAATAATTAGAATATTAGAAAAGAATGTTTTGCGGTCTTTTGCAGACGAGTTTAGGACAGGGTAGAGGAGGATAGCCTGTTCTAAGATAGAAGAAACTGCATGATCTACAGTTAAATTTTTGGTCTGAATGAAATGCTGCGCAGAAAGTATGAATGGTTCGTCTGCTGTATTAGTCTATTAATGGTCCTTTAAATGCTTATTTTTTAAATTCAAAGTAGTTCCAAACATTTAAAATTTTACTTTTAGCTTTAGCTATATATTTATAGTTTTATAAAATTGCCCGAATGGGCACATTTTCTGATACTTTTACCTATTTTTCATTCCTATTTTCAGAGGGCTGAAAAAAGTTATTTCCTCATGTTTAGGGTCATTCTCACCATGTACATTGTGATCCTGGTCATGTAAATGATATGATATGGAACTAATTAAACTGACTGGAGGGCAAAACAGAACTTGTTATCTTGATTCAAAAAATGTTTGAAAGTCAAGCATGGTTTTGTCACTTCCTGTTTTGTCATTTCCTATTTAGTATCATGCCACCTTAACATCTGGGAGAGTTTTGCATTACTTTACATTTAATTGTAGCCAAATGAGGACACGCCCTTCAAAAGAAGACGTTGAACCAAGGGCGTTACAATACCCAGGAATTAATTGGTTCGTGCAGTAATTGTTTGTGATAGCGCCCTCTGCAGGTCACTGTGCTAAATGCGTGCGCTTGCAGCTCACCCACTGAACGAAACGCCACTTCCCGCTGAAATCACCGGGTATTGATTTTTTCCCCTGGTTGAACGGAATTCGCCAATAATTTAGTTTTTAATACTAATGAATGATATTCTGACGCTCAAAGTAATAAGTATGATCTTATTTAAACATTTAATTACTCTACAGTGTGTCTCAAAAAATGTTACACTCATAAAAAGTACAACATCTTTCATAATTTTGACTTTTCCCTAAAATATACTTTAGATTCCAAAATACAAATCTTTCTCGAATAATTTGACACCATCAAATTCGAAATCTGTCATTGATTGGCTCAACATGACAGCTTTTAGTGTCCCATGGTAAAATCAGACTTGCGCCAACTTTTAAGTGATTGGATGGATCAAATGGCAAAAGAGGAACAATTTCTTTAATATTTAACTTTCTTCTGAGTAGAAGCTTGACCTTAAACCGAGTCATTATGTAGTTTTCGTATTTGTGTTACATATGATCATTGGGTCTATCCACATAAACATGTGGTCCCCTCAACATGTTCTCCAAAACAAATCTGATGTACCCTTGCCCATGCGCACATGAATTGTAATATCACTCTGATTCTATCAATCATTTTTGCAGAAGTTCATTTAGGTTAGTGTGTGATGCTGTAAACCGCTTTCAGAGGCCCTTAAAAAACTCAAGGGTGTAAAGTGGGATGACCCTGGAGGCCAATCCAATGGGTAATTCAATGCTATCTTCTGATTTCCAAAGAGTTCTACCAAACCATCTGCCACAAGGCTTTGCACCATCCTGTTGCCATCATACGTAACAAAATTGAACACTCTGACAATGAAATCTTGTATTTCTACCCAGGAAATAAACAACTGGATCATTGATCATATCAAGATATCACTGTCCATAGCATTCACACCAAGAAAGAATTGATCACCACATGTCCAGCCACTGAGAAGTAGGCGCAAATCAGATTTCACATTCTTCTATAAAATCTGTCATGTGCAGCCAATCTTGGACGGATTTTGAATCTGATGATGTGAATTTATTCGAGAGAGACTGGTCTTATGGTATCTAATTATATTTTATTGGAAAAGTCAAAAGCATGAGAGAGAACTTTTTGTAAGTGTAACATTTTTTTGAGACACACTGTAGAATATAATGCTACAGTAATAATTTGAAATAGATTGTAATAAATCTTTTACTTTCCTGCATTGTACCCTCAAGTCTCAACTAATGTATGTTTACATATTATATTTCGAATGATATTTGCAAACTTTAAGGTTCAGCTGGAAAGTAAACATTTTGGTAAAAAATTGCTATACCTGCACATGTTATTTTCTGGTACAAAATTTAGTATGAAGGCATGTGTGTATTTCCTTGCTTTTTTCAAGAAAGTATCATTACACTGTCTACAGTCTGATCCAAAAATAAAAGACACCTGAAATTTTTGGCACAGTTTACTGAATTTGAACATTTAATGTGCCAAACACTCCTCCATTGCTAGAATATATACTCCTGTAAATGATTATTAGCAGAATAAATGTCTCCAAGGCTTTATATCAGCGTATGGTGGATAGTTTGCAAACATGTGAATCCACTTTTCAAATGGCAGCCATTGTTTTTGTAGTCTCAAACCAAAATGAAAATTGTTCAATTTGTAAATCTGGTAATGTTATTGTATCAATTGATTGATAAAGACATACAAAGTATTGTATAATACATATTATAGTTTTTGTAAGAGGTGAAATGTTATTTTAAAATGGATTGTTGCAGAATTGTTTTTGAGACAATGCACAATTATTTTCAAAAATGGTGGACATTTAACATGTGGAAATCACTTCAAATTTTTAAGATCCAAATGGTCATTATGGACACAAATTCCACTATATTTGTATTTTCCAGAACGGAGAAAAAATTCTTAATTCCCTGAGGTAAGAATTTATTATATGTGCGACAGAATGTCTTTTTGAAATCGATAGTAATTATTTATGGATCTGACTGTACTTTTAGTAAACCTGGAAACAGGTCAATGGTAGCTCCTGTGTTGTCTGGAAACTTTGAAAGAAACTTTGGAAAAATTAAAAAATGTGAAATATCAGAATTTCCTTGAGTTCCCATTGAACTCCTACCAGATATTCGAAAAGAAGACAATGTAATGATTCTTTCCTGAAAAAGCAAGGAAATTGACACATGCCTTCATACTTTATTTTGTACCAGAAAATAACATGTGCAGGTATAGCGATTTTTTACCAAGATGTTATTTTCCAGCTGTACCTAAACAATTATTATTGAATCGGCAATGCATTGGCTAATCGTCCAATTATGTAAATCATTAAAATTCATTAAAACAAAAACAATTACCTTCAGCAGAGGACCCAATAACTAGCAGGGTACAGACGGCGAGTGTCCATGTTAAGCCTTCCATCGTAGTGGGATTGCCAAAATGCATTAATAAACTCTAAGCCAGATCGCCAATATAGGTTTTTATGCGCGATTGTTGTGCACAGAGGCGTAAATAAATATATGAACATATAAACGCTAATATGTCAGTTAAGGTAGTTATACAACCACATGCCTAAAAATAGGCCAAGTAATGCCGTGGTCACATTTGCTCTGATTTTTACTACTGCGCCCGGCCGATTGAGTATTTTGTTCAGAAATGTATTCTATTTTGAACAAAATACTCAATCGGCCGGGCGCCGGCCGATGAATCGCAGCAAATGTGACCCAGGCATTATTGGGTGTTCATTCAGGGGGGTCTCTTTAGGAATGTTATAAAAAACCCTTCGACCTGCACCTTCGACCTTCACCTTCGACTTACAGGGTGTCCAAAAAGAAAATATTATAGAAGCTATTTTTGCCGATCTCAGACCACGCAAGAGTCACTTGATTTGTGGTTCAAAGGTGAGATCATTAAGATCTTAAATTGTAGCAACGTTTGCAGTACTCTAGGTTTAGTTACAGGGGTGAAATAGCGTTTTCATGTTATCAAATTAAGATTCTGTTGATGTTGATCGGGTAGTCAATCGGGTAGTTTAATTGGAAGTTTCCCTTTTTAGAACTTACTTCCTGGTTTTGATTCGATTGAATCATAGTAAAATTAGAGTAAGTAGCGATCAATTACTGTTCTATTTATTGAGTTCCAATTATAGTCTTGTTGTGTGATCAATATTAAAATGGGATATGGCGTCAATAACTTGTTATTTAACTTTGAAATCTTGTCCGAAAAATGATGACGTCACCAGGCCTATAAAGTATTTCGCCGATGTAAACTCAAGAGATGACAGCTAGCTTTCGACGAGGACAGAGCTCCGTTCAATTTCATAATCTATGTGAAGTTGGACTTAGTCGTTTTTCAAAGAAATATTTTTGGACTTTTGACAATTTTCATAAGAAAAGTCAAAGGTGCAGGTCGAAGGGTTTTTATAACTTTCTTTTTGGCCCGCTTTTTGGGCACCCTGTAGGTCGAAGCTGAAGGTCGAAGGTGCAGGTCGAAGGTCGAAGGGTTTTTATAACATTCCGTTTCTTTATACTGTAGATAATGAAAATATATGTTAGCCTTGATGAAATATCCAACCTTCGAAATATTTTGACACAAGGTCCATAATCGTTTGATACGTCTCTGCACTAATTGTTCAACCTTGAAAAATCTAAATATTTGCAGTTTGCACATAGAATGCTTAGAACGTACCAAGGATGCATATAAACCACGTTTTTTACTTTTTGTGACAAAGCTATATTTTATCAGGTTATTTTAATTTTATAGCGAGGAGGATTCATGTTTACAATACAAGTACAAGGACAGGGTGGTCAATTTTTGCCGCCACCTTCCTCATATCATTGTCATTTTAAAAAATTACTCCCTGATATTTGGCACATTTGTACATTATGCAATTTCCTACATGCCTACGATATTTCATGACCAACAAATTGACAGTCACAATGTTACAGCCCTTTAAACAACATGAGCCGGTAAACCACTATTGCACTTTCGGCAAACCTGCACCCATTATCCAAAATGTCCCTACCTAACTTCAACTTGTGGTGAAACACCAAAACAAGAGTTCACGAGAATGACCCCAGGACAACTGCAAACCTCAAAAGGGAGATCATCCATGTCATTCAGGCCATACCTGCTGAAAAATCTAGTCAGATCATTGACAACCCATTCAGATTTGTAAATAGCGCGATGGTGGCCACACTCGGCCATCTTGTTCAAAGTAAGTGCTGTACCATTGTGACTATCAATCTGATGGTCATGAAATATGGTTGGCTGGTGGGGAATTGAATGATGTGCAAATGTGTAAAATATCAGGGAGTGATTTTTTAAGATGACAAAGACATGAGGAAATGCAGGGTTTCCATTTCCTATGAAATAGACCCCTATAATTCCAATATAATGAGAATATCGTAAACAAAAATATAATTTCAAAGATTTCATGCGTAATATATTCTGGTTGGTGTTTATTGTGAATTGGACAACATTAGAGGCTTAATCATTGAAATTTCACAAAATAATTGAAATACAACTCTTAAAATTAACGAATTTAAGGTAGACATTTTAAATACAATTGTTACTCCAAGCTTATGCATATTAGTATCAAATACGATTTCATACATTTGAAGTTCATATATGATACATTTTGATAGCTTCGACCCATTTTACAGGCCTAATCATTGAAAAATATAAAGTCTAAAATTTCGGATATATATAAATTGAACCTACTATTCTATAACATTTTTATCATGTGATCCTCTGTATTGCTACTGAGAATGTCCCCTCCGTGCCAATATTTTCTGTATTGCGACGGAGATGATCAATTGGGACAATCTCAGTAGCAATACAGACTGGTACAGCACAAGAACTGACAAATCAGAAGGCTTCACTTTACAGATCATGCGATAATGGATGTTAAATATGCCAATAAGTCTCTTTACATTTACAAGACAAAGTCTGTGTAAAGTGTAATGAGACTTTATGAACACCCTGCATAACTACCCTAAGAGGCCCATGTCAGAACAACGTTATATATTCGATACGTGGTTTGTATTTACGCATACTTGAATACTGTACTTGGTTTTATAGTTCATTGATTTCCGGTGTGAAAGAAATTATGGTCCCCTGGGGATAATGGTCCCCTTTCTTAAATTGTGGATACGATAATAAGGGAAAGAGTTGTATTTAGGTCACCATATAAATCAATGGAAGGTAGGACCATAATATGATCGGACCTCCTACCCATTTACACCGGGTCACATTTGCTCCAATTTTCAACCAGGTGTAAAAGGGTAGGAGGTCAACAATATTGAAAACAATATTGAAAACAATATTGAACGAAACACTCAATCGACCGGGCGCCGGCCGATGGATCGGAGCAAATGTGACCTAGGCATTAGAGGTGACTGCCTCATAGAGTGAAACAAGCTTATTTCAACGGAGGTCAGAAAAAGTTCACCCAAAAAATCAAAAGGTTTTTAAGGGTGACAAACAAACATATTATACAGGGCGTATAAAAAACGCAACAAGTAGTTAACTCGTAAAATTCCAAAAGTAGTGATGACTACATGAAATTCATTTGATGTACCATAAAGCCACGTCTCTCCCCTTTGCAATGATATGTCATTCATTCACATGTGGCAATGGTTGGCTGAGAAATCTTTCCATTCGCACAGTGGGTCAAAATCGGCTCTGCGCCAAGTTTTAGATATTGCGAAAATCAGTGCAAGGGCTAAGTGCCAATGGAAAATCCCCTGACTTCAATTGTTGTTGTGACTTTTTCTTTTGAAGCTATCTCAGGAGCATCTGTGCTCACAATTCCTCCACCAGATATTGCAAAACCTCGAGAAAGAATTGCCCATGGGCTGCTTTTCTCTGCTTTAACCCACAGATGACTCAGGGCTGAACCATGCATGACGTGGACGGATGAGCGCGTCTTTATGTGCAAGGAAGTGGTGCCAATTTGGAGGGGTATAGGATGTTTTCCTGCAAGAGTATGAGTATGAACACTTTACCGTCTATGCCATACCTGTGACCCTATCTTCCAATAGCCCCTATGCCCCTTGTACTGACTTATGCAATGTTTCCAACTTGGGTCCGAGCTGAATTTTGCCCCACTTTGCAAAATTAATGATTATTCGGCCAGCCATGACTCTCTGTGAATGAATAATATTCCATTGCAAAGAGGAGTAATTTGGCTTTTTGGTACATTGAATGAAAAGGATGCAGTCAGCATTGGTTTTATGTTTTCTTCCAATTTTGCATCGGGCTCCGTACACTGACTTTTGCGATGTTTATAACTTGGTCAAAAGCTAATTTTGGCCTACTTGGCAAATGGAACGATTACTCGCCCAACCATGACCAAATATCAATGAATGATATATCATTGTAAAGAGGAGACACATGGCTTTATGGTGCATTGAATGAAATCAATGCTGTTATCACTGGTCTTGTGCTATTCCGAGATAACAATCTGTTGCGTTTTTTTTATACAGACTCAAATATTCTTTAACGGGACCATGACTTTAAACGTTATTATCTAACGTTAAAATGTCTGTGAACCAATTTTCCGGTAAAATCGGATAACTTTCAGATTATTTTTATCCGATTAACCTATATATTTTGGCTGACTATTACCAGTCCTATAATAGTAGTATATATGAGATTTGTCTAGGTAATTTTAAATTTGATTTGATGACTTCTCTCTTAATTCTACCAATTTATGACAACTTAATTGAATATCAAATTCAATTTATCTATTTCATAATTACCAGACTGTCGTGGGCATATATTGTGGTGCGATAGAATTAAATTAATAAATTTATGATTTGAACAAAAATATTATTTAAGAAACAAATCACAATGTTTTATGCAACAATTTTTGATAACATCGGGTCAGGCAATACAAGCTGAAGTGGTTTAAACCTGTAATTGGGCCTTTAAATATATTGGCAAAAACCTTGAGGTACTCGCTACTAGTTAAAGTTGTTTTCCGCCGTAGGTTGGTTCATTTGGTGTATATATGGAGGTATTTACCTTGATTATAACGTTTTGAAAAAGGTTTACGCTTAATTCCTTTTTTGGCAATGGGCCATGGCCACAATCTTGTCAAACAGTAGGGTTGACATAGGAAGTATCTTATCCCTTGTTACACATTTTTTTACACCCCTCCTTTGTATTTCAGTGTATCGTATCGTGTCGTATCATATCGTATAAAGTAATACATTGCATTGCATTGTATTGTATTGTATTTCATTTTATTGTATATTTTGTTGTTTTATATGTATTGCTATCTCTATACCTTATAAACATGTACGCCTTATCTAAAACATAATACAATAGATACATCTCATCATTATGTCTTAACCAGACCGAACAGACTGGTCCTGTGAATATATACGTTACAGGCTATTTTAGTGCAAGTGTTCTTACGTCCACGTCCTGTGAATATTTCACCTCAGGCTATTTTAGTACAAGTGTTCTTACGTCCAAGTCCTGTGAATATATACACTACAGGCTATTTTAGTGCAAGTGTTCTTACGTCCACGTCCTATGAATATATACACTACAGGCTATTTTAGTACAAGTGTTCTTACGTCCACGTCCTGTGAATATTTCACCTCA